TTTTCTATTCGAACATCATTGATAGTCAAAAACTTTGCTGTTTTCTGTTCATGAAACAATGATTTTGTTTGCACATTTCAGTCATAATAAATAAGACCAATCAGTCTTCTAAATGATAATCCCCTTTTTCTTGAAATATTTCAATAAACAGTTACTATGTGATGGAAGCCTTATTGTCTGGGTTAAAATGCTAAAATATTTAAATTTTTATTTATTTGAACCTCATTAACATTTGTTCTCCCATTCACCAGTCATTTATTTTTAGAGATATGTCCTGTAAGCAGACACTACCAAGCATGTTTTAAAATTCATTTTCACTCTTTATTTATTATTAGTAGTATTTTTTGAGACAGAGTCTCACTCTGTCACCCAGACTGGACTGCAGAGGCGCGATCTTGACTCACTGCAACCTCCACCTCCAGGGTTCAAGGGATTCTCCTGCCTCAGCCCCCTGAGCAGCTGGGATTACAGGCCCATGCCACCCCACCCAGCTAATTTTTGTATTTTTAGTAGAGACGGGGTTTCACCGTGTTGGTCAGGCTGGTCTTGAACTCCTGATTTTGTGAGCCCCCCACCGCAGCCTCCTAAAGTGTTGGGATTACAGGTGTGAGCCACTGCACCCAGTCATTTTCACTCTTAAATACTATCAGGCACACAGTATGCAAAAGACATCGTAGTAGGCACACAGCATCGGGGGCTTAGTTATTTCTTAACAACCTAATAATTATAATAACGGTGATGTCAACAAATATTTGTTCACTATGCTGCTTTATAGTTTGAAAAAAAAGTTATAAAATTATTTTCTTAGAATTTCAGTCAGATAGATAAGGAAAATCTTGTTTTAAAAAATAATATAAGTAGAGCTTATTTGGGCCAAGCTTTAGGATTGCATCCCAGGAACATAGATTTAAGTTGCCCTGGATTCACACTCTATGAGTAGCAGTTAGAAGTGGATTTTTACTCTAGACTGGGCAACAGAGGGACATCCCATCTCTAATAAGGGAAGTCTTTTAAGTCTTAATTTTAGTTGGAAGATAATGGCGATTGTAACTGGCCCAAGTAAATGACAGATAGTTACAGGAATGTTATTCAAGTCTTTTAACGCCAAAGATCAGGTGCTCCCTGCTGCAGTTACCAACTATTCTTATCTTTTTAAAAATAATTTTTGATTCCTAAGTAGTAAAGGTGAAAGATCTCTTGTATGAACCTCCGTCATTTACAATTATTAAGTAACATCGAAAAAAACAAAATCTTTTTTTTTTTTTTGAGAGAGAGAGAGAGAGAGAGACTCATTCTGTCTCCCAGGCTAGGGCACAGTGACAAAATTATATCTCACTGCAGCCTCAAACCCCTGGACTTAAGCAATCCTCCTATCAGAGTTTCTTGAGTAGCTGGGACTACAGGTGTACAACCACACATCTGGCTAATTTTTTTTTTCTTTTTGGTAGAGACAGAGTGGTGCTATGTTGCCTAGGCTGGTCTCAAACTCCTGGCCTCAAGGGGTCCTCCCGTCTCAGCCTCCTGAAGAGGTGGGATTATAGGTGTGAGCCACCATGCTAGCTAAAACCAAGATCTTGATAACACTGACCTAAATTAAGATTATTTTTCCCCACATTAGAAAAAGAAAGAAACTTACAAATGTCACATAATAGGAAAAAACCTAAGAAACGAGATGTACTCAATCCAAGACACAAATAGTTTGCCAAGAAGAGAAAGGTAAAGAAAAACTAGGACATGCATTATTTTCCCCCCACAAAATTAAGACTTCAGAACATTCTTTTGATATAAAAGAAAAACATTAGAATTATGTGATTCCCTGCAAAGGACTAAGAAAATTAAGCACTAATCAAAGATAATCTTTAATTTTCATGCCAACCAATAAAAACAATTCCCTCACCTGAACAAGGGAGTCTTTCACTTTACAAAATCACGAATCTTCCTGTACCAAAAGAGGTTCACTTCTCTTACAGCCATCCTGGCTGATGAGTGTGTCTAAATAGTTGGGTGGCGGGAAGATCAGATTACTCTTCTGCTTCCACCTGGAAAGAAACTCACCTGAAGTCGCCTGGGGTCTCCTTTCGTTTCAAGTAAATCCTGAGTTGTGAGAAGAGGCTCGCTCTTCTCACAGCTCTCCTGACTGATGAGCGTGTCCGCATAGTTGGGCTGGGGGAAGATCAGATGACTCTTCCGCGAGTCTGCAGTGAGTGAGACCTCGTGGGAATAGGTCTGCAGGAAAGCCCGAACCCCGTCCACGCCCACAAAGTGTGAGCCGGGCATGCTCGCCAAGCCACCTCCCAAAGCCTGCAGCTGGCGTGACTTGTGCCAGTGCCGCAGCCTGAGCGCCAGCAGCACGATGACGAAGGCCAAGAAGACGCAGGAGACCACGGCCACCGCCACCACCAGGTACAGCGTGAGGTCAGAGTTGTGAGAACCGTCGGAGGGCTCCAGGCTGCCCAGGTCGGCTAGGATTTCCGGGATGCTGTCGGCCACAGCCACGGTGAGCGTGACGGTGGCCGAGAGAGGGGGCTGGCCGTGGTCCTGGACGGCCACCACGAGGCTCTGCTTCAGCGCGTCTCTGTCCAGCAGGGCCCGAGCCGTGCGCACCTCGCCCGTGTGCAGCCCCACCGCGAAGAGTCCCGGTTCGCTGGCCTTGAGCAGGCGGTAGGACAGCCAGGCGTTCTGGCCCGAGTCTCTGTCCACCGCCACCACCTTGGTCACCAGGTAGCCAGGCTCTGCAGAGCGGGGCGCCAGCTCCACGCCAGTGGAACCGTCTGTGGGGAGGGCGGGATACAGGATCTCGGGCGCATTGTCATTCTGGTCCAGCACGAACAGGCTCAGTGACACGTTGCTGCTAAGAGGCGGGTCCCCGCTGTCGCTGGCTGTCACCCACAGCTGTAGGTCTCTCAACTGCTCATAGTCGAAGGAGCGCAGGGTGTACAGAATCCCAGTGTCGGAGTTGATGGACACGTAGGAGGACAGGGGCGCCCCCTGGAGGGTGTCTTCTGCCAGTGAGTAGGAGACTCGGGCGTTCTGGTCCATATCAGGGTCCAGTGCATTCACAGAGAAGATGGAGGCGCCCCTGGGGTTGTTTTCAAGGACATAGACTGAGTAGGATGAGTGGGGGAAGGTGGGCGGGTTGTCGTTGGTGTCTGCCACATTTAGGGAGATGATTGTTTCTGTTGACAGAGGTGGTGTTCCTTTGTCCGTGGCTGTCACAGTAATGTTGTATAAGGATACCTCTTCCCGGTCTAGAGCTGCATTTGTCACTAATCGATAATAATTGCTAACTGACTTTTCCAATTCAAATGGGAGACTTCTCGGGATGGAACAGGTTACCAGGCCATTCAGGCCAGAGTCTCGATCGAACACTTGAAAAAGAGCGATGACTGTTCCTGGAGGTGCACTTTCAGCAATTGTTCTGCTTCCAGATGTAACAACCACTTCTGGTACATTATCATTGACATCCAAGATAGTTATTAAGACTTTCGCTCTGTCTCGAAGACCTGGCTGATCGCGGGCTTCAACACCCAGCTCATAAAATCTCGATTCCTCATAGTCTAGATTTGCAGAAGTTGAAATTTCTCCAGTCAAAACATTCAAACAGAAAACTTGTGAGATCTTTTCTGTAATCTTCACAAAGTAATAAGTTACTTCCCCGTGGACTCCTTCATCCTGGTCGGTGGCATTTACTGCCAACACTGGTGTGCCTACTGGCAGGTTTTCAGGAACACTTACACGGTAGACAGGCTGAGTAAACACTGGAGCGTTGTCATTCACATCTACAACTGTTACCAGAATTTGGGCAACGCTTGAGTGGACAGGGTCACCGCCATCCATGGCAGTAAGGACCAGGTGGTAAACGGCTTCTCCTTCCCGGTCCAAGGTGCCCTCCAGCACCAACTCCGGGTACTTGGGCCCATGGCCTTCGCTTTGCACGTCCACTGAGAAGTGACTATTACCACTGAGCTTAAAGCCCTGAAGGGAGTTTATTCCCACATCAGGGTCATAGACCTCCGTTAGTGGAAAACGAGAGGATGGAGCTGCGTTTTCGAGAATTTTCACTTCCAATTCTTCTTTTAAGAATTGGGGTGTATTGTCATTAATGTCCACTATTTCCACTTCCACGGGATAAAGATTCAGTTTATCCTCGACAAGGATGTTAAAACTCACCAGACACCGCAGGCTCTGAGCACAGAGCTCCTCCCGGTCTATCCTACCCGCGGTGACCAAGCTGCCGCTTCGCGGGTTCAGAGAGAAAAGCTGCGTCCTACCTCTGAAGACGATGCGGACTCCATGCTCCGCCAGCTCCCGGGGCTCCAGTTCCAGGTCTTTGGCGATGTTGCCTACGAAGGAGCCTTTCTCCAGCTCCTCCGGAATAGAGTAGCGGATCTGCGCTGCCGCGGCCCCCCACAGCGTCCCCAGGAGCGTGAGGAGCAGGACCTGCTCGCTGCGCAGCGGACGCCTCTGCAGAGGCGCCATTACTGGCTTATTAGAGACTTCTCTGGGATTAAGAAGAGGAAAAACAGGTCTGCATCACTTTTGCTCTTCTCAGAAATAGCGGTGAAGTTCCTTCAACAAGCAGAGACCGGATGCGAAGCGTTTCAGGTCAGAATTTCCGCACAGCTTTCCTGCTTTCCTGTCTGATTTGCTTTGTGGTTGGAGGATGTAACTCGAGTTTCCGTTGATTTTCTTGCCCGGGTTAGTGAACAGCGACGCTCAGAGTCCTAACTTAATACTGCATCGTTTTGTGAAACTATCATACAGAGGCTTTTATTTCTGCTAAATCTGCATAGATGACACTCATAATATTTCGCTTCCCAAGACAATGAAGCATTTAGAAGAGTGCAAGAGATTATTCTGAATAATTTTAAATGTTCTCTGATGTTTACCATTCATTTTTATGAAAATATCTCTTAGGATCTTGGGGAACAGAAATAATATTACAATCTTCTGTAAATTTTGAATTATCATCACATTTCACCATCATTTATACTAGTCCCACTTTCAATAAGGGTACCAACAACCACAAACACATTTTTTTGAGACAAACTCTCTCTCTGTCTCCCAGGCTAGAGTGCAGGGGCACAATTATAGATCATTGCAGCCGCAACCTTCTGGGGTCAAGGGATCCTCCCACCTCAGCCTCCCGAGTAGCTGGGACTACAGGCATATGCTACACAAACACGTTTTGAACCAATTCACTATAGTACCCAATACAAGAGTTGCCATTTTAGATCCATTATTTCTTTTGATTAGCATAGAAATTAAAAAATGCCCTGACACAGGCAACATCTGTGTATACTTTTAAAAACATGCAAAGGGAAGTAAAAATATTATATATAGGTTACATTTAAAATGTCTTAAGATATACATTATGTTTAATATATTTTAGGATTGACTGCATTAAAACTAAGTAAACCACTTAATTGTACAGATTTGTGTCTAATTCTGGATAGATATGTCTGAAAATGACAGTGTGAGACAATACTGTATTAAAAATGTTTCAGATTATAGTATATTAGGATTAACAAAAATTTCAAGACTATCAAAAGGAGGCTTTCTATGAAAGAACAACTGCCATACAGATATTCTACAGGAAATTCTACAAAGAATTTCCTAGGCACCCTACTCCACACCCAGAAAATCAATAAAATAATGTAATCAGGAAATATTTAATCTGTAAACATTTTATCTCTAAATCAATGAATTGAAACCCAGTTATATTTATGGAAGGAAAGGTTTGAAGAAACTCACCTGTTGCAAATTGCCTGAATTAGAAGGCATTTTTGGATTGTCATTACTTTCAAACCAAGACGCTTCATCACATAGCAGATCTTGTGGTGCAGCATCTTCAGCCTTTATATTGAGAAATTTAAACTCGGTGTTTGAGGAATGTGAGGCAGCACACAGACTGTAGGAATAAAGCAAAGTCCTTTCACTGTAGTTGGGGAGAACTCCAGGTACAGTCTTGGAGTAGAGACCAGGCTGAAAGTAGCCCTCAGTGGCGGGTCTGGAAGAGCGTCGCAGGCGCAGGGAGATGGCCAGAATCACCGCGAGGAGGAAGAGCACTGAGATCAAGGCCAACGCCACTACTAGGTGAAACTAGTACTGCCTGAAGGTCAGAGGGAGTGGGACGGTCGCTAAGGTCAGGTTGTATCTCTCGCATGCTATCTGCGAAGATTAGGTGCAGCGTGACGGTGGCTGAAAGAGGCGGCTGTCCTCCATCACAAACAGTGACCAGCAGGCGCTGGCGGGCGGCCTCCCTGTCGCCCAAGGTACGCGCCGTGCGCACCTCACTGGTGCGCAGTCCCAGGCTGAGCAGCCCGGGCTCGCTAGGCTGCTGAATGTGGTAGGACAGCCAGGCGTTGGGTCCCGAGTCTGCGTCCACAGCCACCACCTTGGTCACCAGGTAGCCAGGCTCTGCAGCGCGCGGCACCATATCGAAGAGCGCAGAGCCGTCTACAGCACCCGCAGTGCATTGTCGTTGCGGTCGCCCACCAACACCCGCAGGCTCACGTTGGCGCTGAGCGCCGGCGAGCCCTGGTCGCGGGCCTGCAGCGTGAGCTCAAAGGCGCGCAGCTGCTCGTGGTCGAAGGCTCGCTGCGCGAACACGACCCCGCTCCGCGCGCTCATGGACACGTAGGACGACAGCTCCCGCGGCTCCAGGTCACTGGCCACGATGTAGTAGTAGACAAGGCCGTTAGGTCCCAAGTCGGGATCGGAGGCGCTAACATGCGCAATGGAGGCTCCAGGCGGGTTGTTCTCAGCTACATGTACCGTGTAGGAGGGCTGGTGGAAAACTGGAACGTTGTCATTGACAACAAGGATGTGCAGAGTGATGGTCTTTTTTTTTTTTTTTTTTTTTTTTTTGAGACGGAGTCTCGCTCTGTCGCCCAGACTGGAGTGCAGTGGCCGGATCTCAGCTCACTGCAAGCTCCGCCTCCCGGGTTTACGCCATTCTCCTGCCTCAGCCTCCCGAGTAGCTGGGACTACAGACGCTCGCCACCTCGCCCGGCTATTTTTTTGTATTTTTTACTAGAGACGGGGTTTCACCGGCTTAGCCAGGATGGTCTTGATCTCCTGACCTCGTGATCCGCCCGTCTCGGCCTCCCAAAGCGCTGGGATTACAGGCTTGAGCCACCGCGCCCGGCCAGAGTGATGGTCTTGCTGGAGGAGAGCGGTGGATTGCCTTTGTCGGTAGCTGTGATCGTCACATTGTATTCTGGGATCTGCTCCCGGTCCAGGGCTCCATCTGACACCAACCTGTATGTGTTTTTGGTATCTTGAACGATTTTAAAGGGAAACTTTCCTTTTAGTTGGCATAGGATTTCTCCATTAAATCCAGAATCTAGATCATGTGTTTTGATCAGGGCAATAGCAGTCCCCAGCTCAGCATCTTCTTGTATATGTTGGGATTCAGAAGCCAGGGTTATCTCCAGGGCATTGTCATTTTAATCTGAAATATCTATCTGTACTTTACAATATGTAGTGTGATGTCCACCATCCTTTGTTTCCACCCCAATTGTGTAGCTATCACTCTCTTCAAAGTCCAGTTCTCCAACAGTGGTGAGTTCCCCCGTTTTACTGTCCAGCTTGAACAATTGTCTCACTGCCTTACCAATATTGATGAAGGCACTGATGATCTCGGCATTAACGCCCTCATCCAAGTCAGTGGCCATCACTTTTAATACCAAGGAGCCAGCGGGCAGGTTCTCTGCAACACGGACCCTGTACATGTCCTGAGTAAATACTGGCGGGTTATCACTTGCGTCTGCGACAATTACCCTGATCTGGGTGGTACAGCTTCTGGAGGGCTCGCCCCCATCCACAGCTGTGAGGACCAGGTGGTGATGCGGCTGCTGTTCCCTATCCAGGGGTGCTTTCAGTACTAGTTCTGGGTACCTACTGCCATCCAGGTTCTCCTTCTGAATTAAAAAGAAGTGCGGATCAGGGCTGAGGTAGTACTGCTGCAGCGAACTGACACCTACATCAGGATCCTGAGCAGATTCCACGGCAATGGTGGCTCCAGTGATCGCCAGTTCGCTGATTTCCAGCTCAGTGATATTTTCGCTAACGGTCGGTGGGTTGTTGTTAATATCCTGGATCAGCACGGTTACATGAAAAAAGTTTAAAGGCTTTTCAGCAACCATTTCAAATTCCAGAACACACGTTGACTTCTTGCCACAAATCTCCTCTCAGTCCATACGGTCGCTCACAAATAAGTCCCCATTTTCGGGGCGCACGGTAAAGAATTTCTTCTCTGCAATAACCCGCAGGTTCCGAGTAGGTAAATCCCCTACGCCAAAACCCAGGTGCTTGGCGAGGTTCCCTACCAGGGAGCCTCCGTCCTGCTCCTCGGGAATAGCGTAGCGGATCGGTTGGGAGAGCCCCTGGCCTAACAAAGAGAGCAGGAAGAGAAACAGCATTCGCCTCCGCTCTGCTGGGCAGCTCCATCCGGAGCTATTTCCCATCCCACTCTCTGCGCCTTTGCCTTTCTAAATCCGCGGAGAGGAGATCTTTAAATAATCCCAAGACCTCTCTGAGCAGAACCAACTATTTGTTTTGTCTTGGTGCTTGGGTTCTCTGATGGGTGTCTCCGCTGCAGGAAGCCGGATAGAGAGTACACTTTTCTTCCAAGTTGGCTGCGGCGGGAGGAGCCAATACTTTGCACAGCACTAGCCAAGAGCGGCACCCGGCGCCTCCGCCACAGAACTGCAGTAGTGGTGACTAAATCCTCTCCAAATAAGGAGCCAGTTAGGAGAAAAATCGGCAGTGTACTGATAGTGATACTTTCTTCCCATTTTAAAAGAACTTTTAAAAAACATTAAATATATTTACTATATCTTTAGTCTGTTATTTCTTTTAATTTGAGCTTTATCCATCCAAATCAAGTACCTTTTACTTGTCAAAGGGCAGAGATAATCTTGCTCAATCCCGTCATGTTTTTTAGTTTCTATTTTCATAAAATGGTCATAATAACATCTTCTCTGCTTACTTTAGTAGAAATGAGGACCAAATAAAATGATACATAGAAAAATCATACGAATGAAAGCTATTTTTGGTGATGGCAGAAGACGCAGTATAAAGATGCTTGAAATATCAGCTTCACGTGTATTGTTATTGCATTCTATTTCCTTTTCTTCTAACTTCTAAAAGTTATAATCTCATAGCTTTTAGTTTCATTCTATGTTTCACTTTCTTCTCTTTTATCTTTATTATTTCCCCCCAAAAGAAGTTACAGGTAATGAGGAAATGATTGACCTTATAAAATAGAAGTATAGCAAGAAGCAAGAGGGTCTCTTTTCCTTTGTTTCCAAGTGTCTACTTTTAATTAAATAAGTATGATTGAAATTTTTTCTTTTTTCTGTAGAGGTGGGGTCTCACTATGTTGCCCAGGCTGGGCATCAACACGTGGCTTTAAGCAATCCTCCCACCTCAGCCTCCCAAAGTGCTGGGATTATAAGGCATGAACCACCCTGGACCAGATGAAAAACTTTCACAAAATACGTTTTTTCATACTACATCACAATTGTTCTGAACTGTACTGCTTCTTCTTAAGTAGCCTGACAATGATGTGTTTATTAGGATTGGGGAGTGAATTGTGAGTCCTTATAATTATATTATTTAATTATGTAAGTAATCTTCCTGTCCACTTTTCCTTGGTCCCCAGTTTACCATCTGATCATACCAAACTTTTGTTATTTACACTTTTCCCTGGTCAATAACATGCCATTTTCCATGTTTCTGACAGGTGTCTTATAGTTTTAATTACATTTCCAAACCAGAAAATCTTCTTAAAGAAATTATCTTTAGCCTACATAATGTATTGTTATTCTAAAACCAGGCAGGTGCGCAGCAATAAGCAATGAGTTCCACACTGAATTTACCTTATAGTGGAAAAGCATTATAGCATCTTAAACTAGTCATGATATCCAGAATTCTGGACAGCCACTCATTGTCACCTTTATACAAACATCAAAAACATAACTGACTCAAGACTTTGCTCCAAAACATTCCAAAGCAAGGGCCTTCCCACACAATGCCAAGTGTTCATTGTATGAACACTTCAATTAGTATGAAAAATTATTCTTCAGAACACATATAAAACTAAAAACTCAGATATTTAAAAGTATATGGTATATATAGTATGTACATTCAGAATGTATGGATCAAGCATTTTATAAAGTCTGTTAGTAGTTTATAGAGGGTTTAAAGATATTTTTCCATTGCACAAAAAAGTTAACTCAGAGGAAGCGTACCCAAATCCATAACCTTTACTTTTTTTTCAAACACCCTACTCTGAGAAGCATATAACATTTTCTTTTAAAAAAAATGGAAAAGCAAGTTTTCACATAGGAGTTAATGATGTCGCACCTATTCTATAGATTCTCTTGTTACTCTTTGAATGCATTCACTATTCAGTGAGTTTGTACATTTTACATTTTGGTCAGAATGTCTGTGTGTGTATGTATGTGTGTTTGTGTGTGTGTATGTGTATATATATATGTGTGTGTGTGTGTATAATTGACTGCTCTTTAATAATGTTTAAAAAATAAAAATCAAGTGATCTTAGGTTCTTTAATGTGTCAATTAACCTTTCATGTAGTTGAGTAATGTAGCTTACTATCCCATTTGTAATATTTTATTACCTTTTCCCCTTATTTAGTCATTATTTGAAGCTGATGCTCAAGGTGTTAAAAGTAAAAAATTTGAAGGATTAAGAATATTTTAATAAGAAGCATCTGAAAATCATCTTCAGCAAATCAGATGCAGAATGGAAATCCAGTAGTCCTTTCATTACATAACACATCCTCCTGGAATTTGAGGCACTTAGACCAGTATTTCATTAAGGCACATCTATTAATTCAAGATGAACACATCCCTTAAATATGAAATTTAAAATTTTGAACCATCCTTAAATTGAATTCTTTTTTCAAATACAACCTTAGACTCAAGTAATAAAGAAGAATTGCACCTACACTTAAAGAAAAGCTAACATTTCAGTAGGTGCTGATTTTAATAAGTAAAGGGTTTATCTGCAACAGAAGATGCCAGGTGTGTGACATACTTACGTCTATTGAATGCAGCAGTATGTAACTCTTTGGAGGCTTTACATCACAGAACAAAGCCCAACATTAAGGTTCCTTTACACTGATTTCTTCTCTCAACAAGCCCACATATCCAATAATTACATGGCTTAACACAAACTTTCCAGACTTTAGAATGCTACATGTAATCATCACTATAAATTTAATCTACTTTTCTGATATTTATGATGCAGAAGTTCTCTGTACCTTTCCACTGATTTATATAAATACTGTAAATTATTTCCTTAAACAAATTTCAGGTAGACTAAAATATGAATCCTACACATTATCCTTTCCAAAACACGTACACTAACGGTGTCTACGCAGACACTCAAAAGAGAACAATACATATAACAATTTGAATTAATAAAACATCTCTGCTATTAATAGAACTGCAGTTCCAATATAACAAAATATTTGGGTAAAATGATTATATTTAACCACTTTCCTTTAAAGTATTTGTTTCACTTAAGTCTACAGATATCAGCTAGACTTCCCAAAACAGAATTTGAAAACAAATGGAGAAAGCATGAATTGAAAAAAATTAATCTCCAATAAAGCAAATAATATTCCACTATTTGCATAACTAGCTGATTTTGAATATGACAGATAAATGAAAAAAGAAACAAACAAAAATGTTCTGGTCATCCTTACCGAAAGAGAAAACTAACCTGAACTCGCCGTTCTTCTTTGTTTGCATCTACCTTATCAGACATCAGAAGAGGCTCGCTTTTTTCACAGCTCTCTTCACTAAGGAGCGTGTCTGCATAGTTGGGCTGGGGAAAGATCAGGTGACTCTTCCTCGAGTCCGCGGTGAGGGAGACCTCGTGGGAATAGGTCTGCAGGAAAGCCCGAACCCCATCCATACCCACAAAGTGCGAGGCGGGCACACTCGCCAACCTGCTGCCTTCAGCCTGAAGCAGGCGTGACTTGTGCCAGCGCCTCAGTCTGAGTGCCAGCAGCACAATGACAAAGGCCAAGAAGACGCAGGAGACTGCAGCCACTGCCACCACAAGATAGAATGTGAGATCCAAATCCTCAGGGTCAATGGGGGTCTTCATACTGCCAAGGTCAGCAAGGATGTCAGGGATCCTGTCTGCCACGGCCACTGTGACTGTGACGGTGGCTGACAGAGGGGGCTGGCCATGGTCTTCCACGGCCACCATGAGGCTCTGCTTGAGTGCGTCTCTGTCCAGCAGGGTCCGTGCTGTCCGCACTTCGCCTGTGTGCAACCCAACCGCAAAGAGTCCCGGCTCGCTGGCCTTAAGCAGGCGGTAGGATAGCCAGGCATTCTGGCCTGAATCTTTGTCCACTGCTACCACCTTGGTCACCAGGTAGCCAGGTTCTGCGGAGCGGGGCGCCAGCTCCACGCCCGTGGAACCGTCTGTGGGGAGGGTGGGGTACAGGATCTCGGGCGCATTGTCGTTCTGGTCCAGCACAAACAGGCTCAGTGACACGTTGCTGCTAAGTGGAGGGTTCCCATTGTCGCTGGCTGTCACCCACAACTGTAGGTCTCTCAACTGCTCATAATCGAAGGATCTCAGCGCATACAGGACACCGGTGTCAGAGTTAATGGAGACATAGGAGGACAAGGGCACCCCCTGAAATGTGTCTTCAGCCAGGGAGTAGGTGACTCGAGCATTGTCGCCGCTGTCGGGGTCATGGGCTGTCACAGAGAAGATAGAGACACCTCTGGGGTTGTTTTCTGGGAGGGAGGTGGAATAGGAGGCTTGAGGGAAATTGGGTGGGTTGTCATTGACATCTGCTACTTTCAAGGGGATGTGGTTTTCTGCAGAGAGGGGAGGGGTTCCATGGTCAATGACGGTTAAAGTGATATTATAATCTGAAGTCTCTTCTCTGTCCAGGTTTCTAGTTGTTAATAGGTGATAGTAATTATCAACTGACTTCTCCAGTTTAAAAGGCAAGTTCCTAGGAATAGAGCATGCAATCTCACCATTTTCTCCAGAATCACCATCATGTACGCTAAACAGCGCGATTACAGTTCCTGGAAGACAGTCTTCAGAGAGGGAACTGGTCAGAGAGGTGAGGATCACTTCGGGGGCATTGTCATTCACGTCCTGTACTGTGACCACCACCTTAGCGCTGGCAAGAAGAGCGCCTCCATCCTGAGCTACCACTTCCATGAGGTAGAATCTGGATTCTTCATAGTCCAGCGGTTGTAGAGTTGAGATTTCCCCCAGGCTGGAATCAAGATGGAAAGTCTCCGAAATTTTGTCTTCTTCATTGCGAAAAGAGTAGGTCAATTTCCCGTTTATTCCCTCATCTGGATCCGTGGCGGTTAGCGTGAGCAGCCGAGTGCCCACAGGTATGTTCTCTGGAACACTCACGCTGTACTCGGATGGCGTGAACAGGGGTGCATTGTCGTTTGCGTCGAGTACTGTAACACGGATGTGCGTGGTGCCGGAGAGTATCGGGTCTCCGCCATCTAAAGCTGTGAGGAGGAGGTCGTGAACAGTCTCTTTCTCGCGGTCTAGAGGCTGTTCCAACACCAGCTCCGGATACTTTTGTCCATCAGTTCCGCTTACCACATCCAGAGAGAAGTGCAGATTGGAGCTGAGCTGGTAACTCCGGAGGGAGTTCACACCCACATCTGCATCCCGCGCGAAGGGAAGCACTAACCGTGTCCCTGCAGCCGCATTTTCATTAACTTTTACTTTTAACTCCTCATCCCGGAAACGCGGGAAGTTATCATTAATATCGATTATTTCTACTTCTACTACATAAATTTTCATTTTGTTCTCAACTAAGATGTTAAAGTTCACCACACACAGCGGGCTCTGAGCGCAGAGCTCCTCCCGGTCTATCCTGCCCGCGGTGACCAAGCTGCCGCTTCGCGGGTTCAGAGCGAAAAGCTGCGTCCTACCTCTGGAGACGATGCGGACTCCGTGCTCCGCCAGCTCCCGGGGCTCCAGCCCAAGGTCCTTGGCGATGTTGCCGACGAAGGAGCCTTTGTCCAGCTCCTCCGGCATCGAGTAGCTGATCTGCCCGGATCCCGGTTGGCACAGCGTCCCCAGGAGCATGAAGGGCAGCAGCAGCTCTCCGCAGGCCCAGCGCCTCGGTGGTCTCGCCATTGCTTTCTCTCTGCCCAATTTTCTCTTAGTTCTGGTTCAGCCTGCTGTTTCCTTATTTATCTAAAGCCGATGGGTACATATTCCCCGACGAAAATGGGCGTGGAGGGTTGGCTTTTCGTAGGAGCTTGTCTGGTTTGTGTGTTTAGTATGGAGGGAGCAGAGTCGGGTCGCCTCTGCGGCAGCTCCTTTCCCACTTTGGTCAACAGCGACGCTCAGAGTCCTAACCAGTGACTGCACCAAATTCCATTTTTATTTCTCCTAAGTTTAGTTATAATTTTATTTCTAATAATGTTGCCATATCCTTAATGTTTAACTGTGTAACATTGTCTATGACTGTTAATTCAGCTTTAATTCTGAAATAGCAAGACTTCCACAATTACTGAGATCAATATTATTAGATTCCAATACCTTACAAAAATTGTATTTAATGTGTCACTGGGGGAGCCTATGTCCTTTATTTACCTCTTACCTATGTTTAGTCCTTTAAATTAGGACATTCAAATTCTTACCTTTGTAGAATTCAAGATTTCATCTCTTTATTAGGATGCATTTAGGAAAACGTGCTTATTTGCACATAAGAATGCCAAGGAAACAAACCCAGTTCTCAATGCACCTTTCCAAACAGGACTACTGATTTATGTAAGTTATATTAGCTGTCATATGCAGAAAAAATACAGATCTTTATTACTTGTGAGGACTTTGAGAAAGTTTCTCCACTATCTCAGACAGTGTTAGAGTAGGGTTAACTATGCATTTTTACATTTTTCTATTATCATGTTCAAATATTTGTAGTTCCAGTGACAATCAGTATAGCAACTGTGGAGGGTGGGGCTTTATTTCATCATCTATGCAGGAAAGCATGACCAGATACTTACTGAGCAGTACTGAGTGGCCTTTCTATGTTGAGACAGTTATTTAGTGCTATCATCTTTATATGACAACAGAAATAGAAAAACCTCTTGATTGAAAAAAATGAACATTTCAGAAAGTCATTTTGTTTAATGACACTTTCATAGAAAACTAAGAAAATAAAAATTCTATATAATTAGGAAATTCAAAAGCAAAGATTTGAGTAATATTTGGTAGAAAATGATGTGAACATAGGTTGTAAGATTTTTCTCAATATGTAATTTTTTTCAAGAGCAATTTGTTAAAATGCATGTTAGAGAATGATTTCTCACATTTGTTAAATGCACTCTTTATAGCAGACACCTCAGACCTCAAACATTGCCTATCCTTTAGAAATATGCTTGTGATTCCAAGACACTTAGCTTACCCAGTGTGGGTCTTCAAGTCAATGGGACAATGTCCTACCCATGCCCTGCAATTAACAAGCCATACCATTATGTAAAAGTCTTTCATCTTTGGTTCCCAATTTCCAAAAACTACTAAAATGAAGACTCTCTTTACTCTGAAGTACTATGATGCTAAGAGGAAGTAAAACAAAAATTTGAATAACAAAGAGCCTGAAGGTGAAAGTAATTGCCTAAAGTCCCAATAGTAACAAATCTTTAGAGAGAAGCAAAGACGAGGAAGAAAAAGAAATACAGTGCAGTATCTCAAGTGATAAAGGTTTGCAATTATTGCTAAATAAATCTCACACTTCAGAGAGAAAACACTTAAAATTAAGTTAAATAAGATTAAGATAATTAAGGCACAACATTGACCAAATCTAACTCACAAAGAAATTGCAATGGAACTTCCTACCCAAATTAGGTGAAACAATAAAACCAGAAGTGAAAATAAATTAATTAAAGCTCACCTTTAAAATAGTATCTGAGGCAAAAGGGACCCCAGCGTCTGCATGATTTGTATTTTGTTCCCAAGAGGCATTGTCACAGAGGAGATCTTGTGAGGGAACCAATTCCGGGGTTACGTTCAGAAAATTAAACTCTGTCTTGGCTGATTGTGAGGCAACACACAGGTTGTAGGAAAAGGGCAATGTTCCCTCACTGTAATTGGGGAGAACCCCTGGTCCAGGCTTGGAGCAGAGACTAGGCTGAAAGCAGCCCCAAGCGTCTGAACTGGAAGAGCGTCGCAGGCGCAGGGAGATTGCCAGAATCACCGCGAAGAGGAAGAGCACCGAGATCAAGGCCAAGGCCACCACCAGGTAAAACTGCAGTTCTGTCTGGGGGTCAGAGGGCTCTGGGCGGTCGCTAAGGTCTGGCAACACCTCTTGCAGGCTATCCGCGAAGATTAGGTGCAGCGTGGCGGTGGCGGAGAGTGGCGGCTGTCCTCCATCACGCACAGCGACCAGCAGGCGCTGGCGGGCCGCGTCCCTGTCGCCCAAGGCACGCGCTGTGCGCACCTCACCCGTGCGCAGCCCCAGGCTGAAGAGCCCGGGCTCGCTGGCCTGCAGCACGTGGTAGGACAGCCAAGCGTTGTGTCCCGAGTCTGCGTCCACCGCCACCACCTTGGTCACTAGGTAGCCGGGCTCTGCGGCGCGTGGCACCATATCGAAGAGGGCGGAGCCATCGGGCCCCAGCGCGGGGTACAACACCAGTGGCACATTGTCATTGAG